TGAGAGTGCGACATGCCATTGGAAACGCATATAGTTCGTTGAAAGTAGATGGTACCTTTCTTGGGTTTTTTAGGTATTTTTTATTTTGCTTCAATTTTCCAATATTGTCAATATTGTGGGAAGTCATTTCAACTGAATTACTCACATTTACTAAAATATCTCACAATTAAGTTATTATTTATTGCTTCAGTTCCAAGACCATTCCTACATGTGTGGATGTTGCCATATGTTGAGTAACAACAATCCTGTTACTTGTTACATGTTGCAAGTCTGGTCAAGATAGTTCCAATGACGTGGGATGGGATGACTCACATCTGGAAGATCTGTTCGTTTTGTCACAGATATAATGTGTTTAGACTATTTTCCTTTATATTCCAATTGTAAATTATCTTTTTTAGCTCACATTGGACTTAGCATTACTAACTTTAAAAAATCAAAATGAAAAGGTTATGTTTGAAATGCATGAATTGCTCCTTTTTATAAAAACCGTGACGTGACATTATGTGTCGAAAAAATCAAGTTTTGTATAGGATCCGAAGATGGTATAGTGATACGAAACGCGTAATCCTGTTGGATGATCAAGGATCACAATGAGCAGTCTGTAGGTATTGTAACCTTTTCATTTTGATTTGCATAACGTGGCCTAAAACAACTACAACATGAAATTAATAAATTGTTTCTGAAACTGTTTGGATTTGCAATTAAATATCTTCCCTTTACGAAATTTGTAAACATTTGATGATGTTCGATTTTTTTTTAATTTGTATAGGCCTAGCCTTTAAAGCAAAATCAACAGATCGTATCACAGAATATCTAAAAGTCATATATTACAGGGATTTACGTCGTTAATAGCAAGATGTGTACAAAGTAGAACCTCAAAAGAGATACAAAACGCTCTTACGATATTTTAAATAACATGTAGTCGTAGTACATTGTTGTATCTGGGGAAAATATTAGAATTCCACATTTAGAAAATATTTGTTTACTTATACACTAACTTGTTATCGACACCAATCTTAAATTGGCAACTTATAATAATCCATGGCATCTTGTATGCCAGTATGCCCCGATCAACATATACAGCGTGTTTTTTTTCGAACACAACCCAAATTACAAGTACATAGTCAATAGTAGTTGATTTAAGTTAGCAGTCTTGTTTCATTGACTTCAGAACCGATCAGCTGATATGCATTGTTGTATTTTTGTCACGTGGTTTAGTGTTATATGGAATTTATTGCGGATGAAAATAACAATGGATATTTTTTAAACACACGCAAGTCCTGTTTTATATAGATTAATACAAATATATGAAAAAATACGTACTGTGTTATTGATCTGTACATTTTATACGACCTTTATTTGATTCAATAAATACTCGAAAATCACGTGAAAACTGAGTTGCAAACATTTTTTACCGTAACATGAATGTTTTATTTACTATGCATTCTTCTACAATAAGAACTCTTCGAGCTTGCAATGGTTTTATTCAAAATAATTCTCTAACTAAAACTAAACCATGTAGATTGTAGACAACAATGCAACAATGTATATCAGCTGTACGGCAATGAATTAAAGGAAGCAGAGGTGCCAACCTGCAACCTTTTTGTCCCTACTCAGTGACTCTTAATACTTGTTATTTAGGTTGCGTTTAGAAAAATAATGCATAATGAAAAACAAAAGAGAACAAAATCTTCCATAGTAGTAATCTTCTCGTGTAAAAACTAGCTTAGTAAATGTGAGGTTTCAACTTCAGTTTACGACGAAAGTCAATGATTCAACAGGCCAGACTAGCCATATCAAACAACGGTTTAGCCTTGGCCTACTGTTAATATAACCCTCAATGATTCAAAAACAACCTCAAAACACAGGAAATCCCGAGATCTCTCTGGTCCCGAGTTGTGACAATGCGTCTGTTTATACAGGGTTAATAAAAAGTCAAGACCCCCCACCTAATATTTTTCTAAGTAAATATACAGAGATATCCTTTTGGTGGTAGTGCAATCTTAGCAGGAAGTTTCATTTTATGATTCTGAAAATTTTGAATGTCCCCCAAAAATAGGGGATTTTGGGGGAAACTCAAAATCTTTAAATGTAAACCCACTTAAAATGACACCTCATTTTGGACAAGCTAATGGGAGAAAGTATGTGTCAGATTGCTGATACCGTTTATTTATAATGAATTACATCATGTTTTGCCAAATTTTATTCTATTTAATGACTATTTTTTGTACCATCATTACAATGCATCACCACTTGGAATCGGTATTGCCAAATTGAACAAAGTCTTCCACGGATTATGTTTCGTCAGTGGAAATGTTTGCAGGACTGCATAGTATGAATGGGTGGATCACTGCCAGATAACCTTGGCCTAGTATGGTCGCGACCTCCGATGGAGGCCCTGAACGTGGACCTCACATCATAGGATATCCCATCCTGTTCTTGCTAGCTTTGGAGTATGATACAGAAGCTGTAGAGGGTTCTGACATTGACTATTTCATAGTCATGCCATAGATAAAACATACCCCCTTAGTAGATTTGTCATCCTTATGGATCTGCTGACGAAGATTTTACTGTTATAGTTCTGCTAAAATCTGTCCGATGCCGCTAGGATCGTGTTTTTGTTTACAATTTGATTCTTGTCATTTAAACATTGTTTAGTCAAATATAACGATATAATAATAAAAAAAATAACTCGTCCCCTAGTTATATAACCAAACTGTAAATTATTACAAATTATAAAATTGACCCAAAAATAATATAAACAAAATCTAATCGGAACTTGCGATCAATGGCATCGGACATGAACTAGACTCAAAAAATGAGTTTAAAAATTTACAATTGGGTGAGAAGTCTACTTGTGTTTGTTAGTCTATGATCAAACATACCTAATAGCTCGTCTCTTAGTTATGACCAAACAGTAAATCGCAAATGATAAAATATAACAACAAATAATGATAAATATAACACAATTTCGCTCAGTGTCACCAACATGAACTAGACATGAAAAACTAGCTTCAGATATTACAATGGGATGAGAAACCATTGATTATACATCTTAAGGGTGAGATCTACTTGTGGTGGTTAGTTTATAGTTATCTTTAGCAATCGACTCAATACAACAAAACAATGGTTTAACAAAACAGGGTTTATTTTACCAATGAAGTACTTAAATAACAAACAGCATTTTAGAGTAAAATAGACATATAAAAAATTACATTTTAAATTTTTTTTTACTTGAGGGTGACTCATCTTACAATATCAGTCCCAAGGTCGTGCGTGGTTTGTGTTACATACCTATAGTCTTCACTACGTGTGTTGCTGCAATGACTGCTGACTACCGTTGCAATGTGTTGTATTAGAAGATTGCTGGGGTTCAAATAAAAAGTACATTTCATCACTAGTGCGTAAAGTGACTCTTTTTCACCCTCACTATTTTTCCGACTTCGGCTTAGCCAAATTAAGACTTCAGCTCGGGTCCAAAAGAGTCACTTCATGAACTAGTGATGAAATATACCATTTCTCCTGTAACATTATGCTTACTGATTTTGATATATTTGTTGCTCTATATGTTTATGGCCCTGCTGATAGTGTAATTATTTTTAAAATAAATTAATTAAAATTTTTTAAATACATTTTCTAAATATATTTTTTTTAATAATTTTAAAATAGAGTCACAGTTACTCAAAACAATAAGTTAAACATTTATAATGCACATAAATGTGACTTCACTACTTCTGACCAGTTATAGAATATGTAATGTAGTGTTGTCAAAATGTTAGGTATAAACAGCTCAGTAGAGTCAAAACACAAGTCATTCTTGTGGTATACAGGCTACAATTGTACATTGTACAAGGGACAAGAATAGCTGGCGGCGTGTGTGAAGCTGGGGGCTGGGAAATGGACATAAAGCATACACTTTACACCGCTATGGTAGACGAAGTAAATCACAATACTGTACCCAGGGTGACCATGGTGGTAGAAATTATTTATTACTTGCAATAGTTAAACGTGTTGAATAGTTATTTCATCACACGTATTTGGTCTGCTTAAGTATTGACTGATTTATTTTTTTCGCTAGGAAAGCAAAAAATAGTATATTTCATCACTAGGGCCTAAAGTGACTCTTTTCGGCCCGAGGTCGGAAAATGAGTGAGGGTTGGAAAGACACTTTTTGTCCGTGTGATAAATTATATTTTTCGTCATATTGCAGCATTATTTGAACAAACTATGTTACAAAACTAAATAGTTTTCATTTAAGGTAACTTCAAAAAACTACTTTTAACTTGTTTCCAATTTGATTTGATAAGGAAACAAGCAGCTGTTTGGTAAGTGATTCAATTGTTTCGTCGATTGTGTACATTAGGCCTAAATATCGATATGTCTATTTACAATAAGGCAACAATAAACTACAATTGATTAAACAATCGATACATACTTTTGTTGCATGCCATTGTTTACAAGAAATTTAGAACTGAGTTGACATCAGCTGATTTTTACTTTCTAGGGGCTAAACAAGATTTTTACTCCCTAATGCCACTTTAGATCCGCTATGCATGTACGTATTAAACACGGCTGTTTTTGCTGCAGTATCGCTAAACCCCAATAATGAATAGTAGTCCAATGTTTACCTAAAATGTGCCAATGAAAATATGGTAAACAATAAATGTTCAATCCAACTATGATACAGTAGCCTACCTAAACAAAATAAGTAAAATTTTTTTGACATGCTAGAATGTGTGTATCCTCACAGGAAAGCAAAGAAAAACCTGACAAATTTTCTTCCAGTGTAAAAAGTTAGAGTTCGTGACCGAAAATATTTTAGTTCCAATAATTAGCCAACTCTTTGTCCTGGATTCCCAAATTGTAGGCTACGTTTCCCCGGACGTAAGTTCGACCCTGGATGAACGTCATATAAATAAATGTACCATGTTTTTGATCGGATGCTACAAGGTAATACCGAAAAGGTCATTGCTGTGGACAATACAAATTACCTGTACAATGGCATATCACACCACAGCATCTGGAATGAAACAGTTTGCTCGCTGACATCATAACGACCACTGATGTAATGGCTGTAATGGAAATAGTCAATTGTGAGTATTTTTAGTTGCGTTACGCACAATAATTTTATGTATAACTTATTTGATATTTAGAACATTTTTAAAGTCAAATATCTAAAATGTTTCTAGGAGTCTACATCTCCCTAAACATCATAAATTTCGGGATCAGTTGTTTTTTTTCGTCCTGTCATGTATTGGACGTTGAGTATATAGTTTTAAGTTATAGCTCTATGTTTCCTACGTATCTCTCCAATATTTTTGATAAATCACGTATATTCATATTTCACAGATCATACTTTAAATGGTTAAAATCCGATAAGAGTAGTCAATTTTGTTTGGACGATTTTGATTGAATTCCAAAAATCATTCAATGCTAACAAACACGTAAAAGGGAGTACTATATTGACATTAGCGCACCCCTTCAGCACACATTGACTGAAGTGCATCTAAAAATCACTTTTCGCACGTCAGATGTCACAACTTAAAACATCTGCTCTAGGAGAAAATCTGTATTTATAAACTGGGCTTTGTTGCTATAATTTTTACAGTTTAGTTTTACATTTAGTATAAGTTTATTGAAAAGCAAATAAAAATCGTAAATACATGAAAAAAGTAGCCAAAGTTTAAATTATACGTATCATTATGGTTTCAGAACACTGGGGCCCTAGGACATGTATGACTTTTCCATTAGTTATCGATCATCAAAAAATATTCGAAAGAAGATTTATTCAATTTTAAAGATGACAAAATATTTGGTGAGTGGTTATAATATTAGTGGTTTGTTCTACTATCATTGTTCAATGGCAGTCAAAAGAACGCAACCTTTGAAATAAATAGTAAAATTGGTGATTCACAAATATATTTCACAAGCTTGCGGACTTGAGCTTACCAAGTAGAACCCTATTGGCCTAATAGTATTTTTAGAGCTAACATTGTTGGTTAGAAACTCAAGATGTTAAAGAAGAATGCATAGTTTTTTCGGAACATTATAATTTTTTTACAAACAAAATGAAAGAAATTCAATTTTGAAAAAGTTTAAAACTGTGAGATACATGACTGTAGTTATTAAATTAGAGACTTCTTGTTGGGGTAGCGGATTTTTATCCCCCTGGAATTTTACCCCCTGGGCAAACGTGACGTCACAAACCAGGGGGTAAAATTCCGGCCGCGAACTTTTGAGTTTCGCGACATCAGCTCGATGGATTAAACGCGGAATTAAACATATATTTTCACGGTTGTGAGTTTAATCAGAACACATCAAATTATAAAAACCTAGAATGTACGGCCCGGATTTTTACCCCCGGAATTTTACCCCCGGAATTTTACCCCCCGGAATTTTACCCCCCGGAATTTTACCCCCTGGCCAGATATAAATTAGTGAGAATGATTAATTATCGTCATTCAGTTTTAATTTAATGGTAAACATTTTATTATTAAGTAGCCTATCTTAATTTATATGTAACATTAACTAATCGAACAGGGTTTTAATATTAATTTTGAGATTCGAGTGTCAGGATTCGATCTTTGAAGCCAACTGTTGGTTAATATGATCAAAATAAAACAGCGAATTCTGTTTACTTAGTTGAGATTACAAAATAAATAAATAAAGATAGGCTACTAAATAATGAAATGTTTACAATTAATTAAAAACAGAAATAAGAAAATCAATCATTCAATTTCTAAACTCAGCCAGGGGGTAAAATTCCGGGGGGTAAAATTCCGGGGGTAAAATTCCGGGGGGTAAAATTCCGGGGGTAAAAATCCGGCCCGTACATCTTCAGTTGCCTAAACGCTAGTTATATGGGCAGGGGGTAAAATTCCGGTTTTTATCGCTAATCTAATTAATCACGCTCTTACTATTTTCATTAGACTTCCAAATCCGCGGGGGTAAAATTCCGGCCGCGAACAAACTTTTGGCCACTCAGGTTACTACGTCATAGTGACGTCAGCTTTGCCCAGGGGGTAAAATTCCAGGGGGATAAAATTCCGGCGACCCTTCTTGTTGTGATACTGTTTGGTTGAAGCAGAAATGCCATTTACACTTATTTGTTTTAACTGGCTGTAAACACCATATGGTAGTATTCAATTTGGACTTTTCCAACGTGTCTTGTGTTGGCAAGCCAGAAAAGGTGTTTGCCCTGGCTAAGGTCACAAGTTGGCCCGACTTGAAGGGTTTTTAGTGAGTAGTCTGAAAAATTCAGGAGTCTCAAACTAAAAAAAAAAAAAAAAAAAAAAAAAAAAAAAAAACAGGGCTGTGCATAAAAACATTCCCTTCTCTTTCTAAAAACACGTGTCACGTGTCTTGTGTTTAAAACCACACAACCAAGTAGAGTAGTTTTAAACAAAAGACTCGTTGGAAAAGTCTAATTTAATACTAACATTTTAGAACCAACGTGATATAAATTTTAAAAAGCCATAGAATAATCCGATGATCCAATGGTTGGTTAAGATAGTTTTTAAAGACTAGTTACACGCTATTTTTATGGATGTAAATAGTTTTGCAACTTTATGGCATTTTAACGAACTAATTTTATGGGCTGCTTCTTGTAATTTTTAACATCAATAAAAGCTGGGTTTTCCTAGGCGCGGAAGCGGAGCGCGGAGAGAGGAACGCGGGGAGCGTAAAGCGTTTAAAGCTGGGTTTTCCTTGGCGCGGAAGCGCAGAGCGGGGAGAGGAACGCAGAGAGCGGAAAACCCGGATTAACATGGCGTTCCGCTCCGCTTCTAGGAAAACAGTAACATTAAATTACCTAAGACTAGAGGAGTCCCCTCTCCGCGCTCCGCCTCCGCGTCTAGGAAAACCCAGCTTTTATTGACGTTAAAAGTTACAAGAAGTAGCCCATAAAATTAGTTTCGGCCAAGATTTAAGAATTGTATGTAGTCTAGCTGTGCAGTACCCCCTCCGCAGAAAACCTGCTGATAAGCTAATTTCCAATTGCCTATTTGGATTTTCACAAGATCTTTCCTTACACTCACAACTTACCAACTTTACTCATCCCTCAGATATCGAGGAGTATGACGGTTGGTAAGGAAAGGAACGTGTTAATTTATCAGGTTTATTCCCTATTGAAATAACATTATGTTTTATGAGTACTTGGGTTTGCTGATACGGGAAAGGTAAAAATGTGTGGTTCAATAAAATATTATTAGCTTAGTACAAAATAAATAAATTTGCCAAATTTTAGCAAATTATGGCTATAAAGAAGCAATGAGACCTGTACAGATAGTGCTCATTCCCTATTAAAGTACACTCGCTAAAAAGAGCTTCGCCAAATAAAATATAAAATTGCATTATGTTTTTATGTTTTAACATTCTATTTTATATTTCAGGCTTTATTTCTACTTGGAGGTATGTGGTGTTCAACGTTTTGGTTGAAGTATCACATCTTGAAACATCCAAGTAAACATACAAAGCATCCAAATAAAATAACAACAACAACATCAACAACACCACCAACAACAGAACCTCCCACAACAGAACCTCCCACAACAGAACCTCCCACTACAGAACCTCCAACAACAGAACCTCCAACAACTACAACCTCAACACACCCCCCTCCAACTCATCCTCCTACAACACACCCCCCTCCAACTCATCCCCCTCCAACACATCCCCCTCCAACTCATCCCCCTCCAACACATCCCCCTCCAACACATCCCCCTCCAACTCATCCCCCTCCAACACATCCCCCTCCAACACATCCTCCTCCAACACATCCTCCTCCAACACATCCCCCTCCAACTCATCCTCCTCCAACTCACCCTCCTCCAACACATCCCCCTCCAACTCATCCCCCTCCAACTCATCCCCCTCCAACGCATCCCCCTCCAACTCACCCCCCTCCAACACGTCCTCCTCCAACACATCCCCCTCCAACTCATCCTCCTCCAACACACCCCCCTCCACCAACAATTCCACTTCACCGCCCTCCTCCAACAACGCCACTTCCAACACACCCCCCTCCACCTCCTCCTCCGCCACCAACAATTCCATGTCCACTTCACCCTCCTGCTCCAACAACACCACCTCCTACACACCCCCCTCCACTAACAACATTACCTCCACCAACAAAATGTCCATGTCCATTTCACCCCCCTCCTCCAACACACCCCCCTCCACCAACAACATTACCTCCACCTCCTCCTCCACCACCAACAATTCCATGTCCACTTTACCCCCCTCCTCCAACAACACCACCATGCCCACCTCCACCACCACCACCATGCCCACCTCCACCACCAAGGCCAACTCAACCTCCACCACCCTGTTATACCACAACTGTTCCTCCCATTATTGTCACAACTCCTGTTCCTACCACCCCTCCACCACCTCCACCACCTCCACCACCACCACCACCACCTCCTCCCCCTCCCCCTCCTACTACTACAACTCCATCCCCCTGTTCCCAGAACAATGGGTGCCCCAAGCCTGCCGCCCCTGTTTGTACACAGTGCATTTTGTTTACAGGGAAATAAACCTTTAGTTTATATTACTAGCCTGTGACTTGTGATAATTGCTTAAGTAGCTAGGGTAGTTTTTGAATGTCAAGAGGCAATGAATGTTTGAACAAATGATTACAACTTTATGCAATGCCTTTGTGAGTTTATGGACTGCCGGTGGCTAAATGATATGTTATTTTAAGATTTTGATACTTTACATAATTACTTTGTATTTATGTTTTAAGAGTAATAATAGAGTATGGGCGTATAAGTAAATATTCAATACATGCAGGCAGCATAATCCTTTACAGATTTTATATTTTATCACCTTATTTATTTATAGTTACCGTAAATCATTTCAATATTCAAAAACTAGGCCAACAACAATTTCTCCCACGACGATCTCGTCACGATAATAGTGTTGGTTATAAAAATAATTTCTGTAAAATATATATTTTTTAAGATTATAGCGTTGATTTATTTCCTTTAAACTTCCCCAGAGTCCTCTCGTGAATAAACACAATGCACAAAACACACGACACAAACAACCAGCACAAATTCTACAACACAATGTACAAACACAAGTTTGATATAGTGATTGAGTAGCAGATTTTACAGGGTCACATTGCAGAAATATCCACGGAAAGTTGTAAAATGTTGTGGTGGAACAAGTTACAAGTACAACAAGTACACTTTAAATACTTTCATGGTCCCTGAAGTTATACAATAGTAAACATTATTAACAAAGCTTTAATAAGTCTGAGAGTTTAAATTTCAATTTGCCGCAGAAAATGTGATTGAATGCATAACTGGAAGAGCATTTTGTAATTTATATATCATAGAAACCATGAAGGAATTGTGTGTTAACTTATGAACTATAAACTTCAATTTAATCTTGATTGACTAAAACAAGCAAAATGTTTTCATGTTGTAAATGAGTGCTCAGTGTTCGTTCTTGAAGGTTTCATCGTTTTCAGAGATAGAAAATGTTATTGAATAACTTATTGATTAGTATTTTTCGCATTGATGTTGTTAAATGAATATAATGTCTTCCACGAATTTTTCCACACTGTATAACTCCTCTTATTCTGTCAATCTACTTAAGTGTGGTACTAAACTGTAAGACGTTGAAAGACCTATATCTATCTATACTTATAAAAGTCAAATACCACTCACTCACTGATCACTATATCTAAAAAAAACTATACGCTATAACAACTCAGGAATTAGCATGTAGGTTCCAATCAACCTCTAGGTGTGCAATAAGAAGCGTTCTCAAGAAATTCCACCAGGGCTCTGCCCCAGTGGCTTTTAAAGTTCCTATGTTATCCCTATGGAGACAAGATTTGTTTCCATTTGAACACATGAATACTTTTGAATCTACACTATTAAATGGAACAGCTGGTAGAAATTTTTTCCATGAAATGATAATTCATTATTTTGGTGGCTAGAAAAGTGTTTTACTGCGTAACACATTTAAAATAGTTAAATGAATGAACAAAACAAGAAGTATAGTCCCTACTCAGGTTGAACATTGAACTTTTTAATTTAAATTTTCGTGAGTGAAGCCAAGACGGGTTTGCTAGTTTTATTATATTCGTAAAATATACTGAGCTAACCTAGGTTTAGAGCTACGTCAGATTAGCTAAAAGGAGTTCAGATTCATCCCACAAATAAATGCTCTGTGAACTTATACTACACATTCAAAAATGTGTACTGATCAGAAAAAATATCACTTTAAAATTTTAAAATTTTTCACGACTCTTTAAAAAAACTATTAAAATGAGTAACTGCATTGCCCAACACTGGTATCCTCCGGGGCAGTGTGGAGGGGGCAGATTCCCGCTGGGCCGCTGGTGCTGGTCGCTGGGCTGCTGGTCAGTGTCCAGTGAGTGCCGTGCCGCGCCGGTCATGTGCTCCAGGATGATACGAAGGTTCAGGTCGTGGTTCCACCCCAAACATGACTCCACTACACTCCGCCCCATCAGGAAACCCTCCATGGTCCTGCCAAAGCCACCGCAGGCGAACGCCATCACCAACCTAGCCCTCAGCGGTGAGTTGTGAAATATGTAAGGATTGTGGGGTTTGAGATTTTTTAAGGATTTTTCTAATGTGTACATTGTACAAACAGAATATTATTTCACGTTGGTGAAGTTTTACACTTCGCGATCTTGTAAGGAAATGGTTTAAAACGTAATCTCGTTTTGTAAAAGCCTTAGTTAGAGATCGTATTTAATTCATATTGGCAGTTGGTGACATTATTAAACGCTTTGTATTGCGATACATTATTTTGCGTATACAGTGACATCGTATTTCAAAATGTTCTCCTTTAAGAAGAGTCAGTTTGTAGGAAACAAAAATAGAGGTATTGAAAGCCACGAATCATGTTGAATATAGAAAACATAAAACAATGTAAATGGTAATTTGGTCATTGTATAATGTTGGCCCTTTATAGTATAGGTTTTACCGTTTTACCCTATTGCCTCAATAGAGTTAACTTAATTCTCAATTATTATAATAATATACTAATGCTAATTACTAATTTTTCTATCTAAGCTGACTTAAGTGTTGAATCAATGTATTTAGGTGTACCTAAGGATACAAAGTTGACTATTCTATTTTGTAATTGAAACAACACATTCAAAAACGATTTTGGCTCATATCACAACATATTAATTAAACTGCCTTCGATTTAATTATACCTTCAATTAAAATATATTCGCTTTGACTAAATTAGGTCAAATAACCAAAATATACGAAGTAAAACGGTTGTAACTGTTTTTAAACATACCGAACACCCTTCAGTGGAACACCAACACAGACGTGGTAACGCCACTATCTTGCCATTATAAATATCGTCAAATTGAGACAATGCTGCTTAGTTTCACTTGAATGTTATATAGAGGATAGGTGTAGTAAGTAGTAATAGCATGTAATAGTAAGATGACCTGTGAAGCTGGTTTTCTGACGGATACTGTCAGTTTCAGACAGTACCATTCATTCAGCTTAGTGTTAATATTTTCATGTATCAGTAGAAATTACTTTTTCGTGGACCAATTATTTTTCCATTTATAATACTGGTTCTGATGCGTTTACACTGTGCTCCTTTAACAAGCGCAAAAAGTAAAATCTTGTTTATTAATCACCAGTTGCAATGCAGCTATGCAGTTGTTTCTTCAGCAGGTTTATATTAAAGAACTGGGTGTACAGAAGCTGTGTACATAAGCGGTGAAGGCTATATGCGGTAATTTCGTCGTTGCCAGTCACAGCGATAATTCTGTTGCACTCTTTTGCTACCACACCCTTTGTCGTTGCTTTTTTATTCTTAAACATTTTGAAAGAAATCAAACCACCAGCCAAAATTGAAGCTTTAGGATGTAACTTAACCTCTAATCAAGTATTGCCTTAGAGGTCCCAAAATTAATGTAAATTATTGTTATACAGTAAGCCGTAGGAAAATGATGAGTTACATTAAAGTTAAATTACTAATTACTATTTTTAACCTGCATATGTTCATTTAGACATTTAGAGAAACATTCATGAGAAGATTTTGTAATTTTTATGCTGTCAGTTAAGAAATTACCATTTTCTTCGTTTTCATATAATTTGTCTACATAAAATGTTACAAAATGAGGAATTAAGTTAGCCTAAGCGACTTTCATATTTAGAAGGATAATATAAAATTCAAACTGTTGTTCGCAACTATTTTTACAATAATGCACCTATTATGAAATAAAAAAGTTGCATGTATGCACTATTTGATCTATCGTAGATTGTTTATTTTGTGAGTGAAAGAGAAATCGTAGGGTAATTTTGAGTGTTGAGGCCTGAATGTGGGCCGCTAGCAGACGACCTTGACTCTGATAGCCTTATAACCCACGACCACAACCAACATCAGCAATCAGCAATCAGCACAGGCTAGGGATAGGGAAGTCTGATTCACTGTCACTGTCACTTCAGCAAAGTATAATTGAGTCATGTCACATCCATTATGATCGTTCAAAACTTTTTTACGCTGAACACATTTTTTCTCCTATTTGAGAGTTTCCCATATAGGGAATAAGCTATTACCGTAGTACTCATGGAAAGACCTGAACCCGGGACCAATTTACTTTTTCGTTTTGAGGTCCCTAGAGGCCAAAAATACAATCCGTTCAAATTCATATACCGGTATATGTGTCCGTTAGTACGATAACTCGAGCAAAAATAATCCGATTTTGATAAAATTTGGTATAAACGTGTAAACCTACATATTCGAACGAGTTCGCGAACTTCAACCAGCATGATCGGACTATGGGAAAGGGGGTTTTATGGGGTAAAAATGACAAGAGTTTCGTGTTGGTGCCGAGAACATCTTCAAGATGAACTGGTAATATTGGTTTCAATACATTTTAAAACTGCATGAGAACAACATGCAAAATGTCGAGCAATACCAATGTCCAATAGTATCGAAAACATTAGGATTGTGTCCTTTAAATGCGTTACAAAATTGGTACTCTGACTAAAAAATTCAAAGGGAAATTTAAAGCTCGGAAATGATTTACGGTCTTGTACAGAAACCTTGAAATTTAGAAGCGGTACCAAGTTGAGACTGCTATGTAGGCTGGCTGATGATGGTCGTCAGCAGCTGATTTCTGATAACTAATAACTACTGATTTCTCCCCCCAGGGTCATTCCGAGCCTGGCCTAATATTTTAATCAGACAGCCTGGCATTGGAGAGAAATGTTTGTAAACGTCTGTTTAAGTTGCCTTTTATCTTGTATAATGCCATTCTTTCTTGAGGCTAACATATACAACATAAATACATATACAACATGATGTGATATATATATAGTGCAGTGACTCACAAACTTTGTATGTGTAGGAGTAACTGCCTCAACTTGTGGCGAAATGTGCATCAGTGTTTTAAGAGTTTTAAGAACTAAAGGCATTCTACAAAATAAAAGGCAAATAAATATTAAAGTTCTTGAATCTGGGTAACATAAATAAATATTATGTTTGTTGTTCTTATTACTCTCTCTGTCTATACCAGAGGGCATTTAATGTTATTTTAGTATTAGGGGTCGTCTCCCCCAAAGCCCTGTTCTCATTGCCTTGTCGTCGACCGCTATTCAACAAGATTATATCGTCAAGTTCTATAAAATTGGTTAACTATTGCAAGTTGTGGCTATAAATAGCTCAGTCATAGATATTTTCACAGCTTCGACTTGGGGAATTAGTGTGAAAATAGACGTAGCAATTAGATATAAAGTTACGTTCTAAGTCAGACTCAGGGCTAATTAAAAACTAGTACCGGTTGGCCGAGTTTTGCTCGGAGAGTAATAGACCTCATGACTTTCCAGACGTTCCTCATGATTTTATAAACGCACAGTCCTGAGTATTACAAAGCATTAATAAGCATCAAAAATCCTTTTAAAACCGTTTTATTCAGCTTACTACTGATTACAGATATATTTTGAATTAATCCTTATATATAATACACGAAGGTGATTTATACGTAACACTACTCCTCTGTTAATAATAAACGGATTTTTACAAACGATGTGTCAAAATAAAGTATTTGTTGTGTAGACGCCCCCTTTCACAAATTCCTGTAATAAAAGTCCTCGGGCTTTGCCCCACAGACCATCAAAATCCCAATGTATCCAAATGTAATGTGTGTATGAAGAAAATATTTTGTTTACTTAAACAGACGAATAATTTTTATTAATTACAGCTGTTCATAGTAAACACATAATACTGTACACACAAGAGCGTTCGTTTTCAGAGTGAGTTCGTTTTCAATTTCGGTAACTGGAGTGGAGTGATTGATTACATTATCTTGGAGTTGACTCTTTTACATCGGAAATTATATGACTGGGTTATTCGTTTTGAAATAACACCTGTAATACTTTGCAATTACTCGAATTCGAGCAACAGGTGCACTTAGTAGTTCTATATTAAAACGTTTTTTTTCTGTGTAGTTGTCTGTTCATCTTGACAAGATTATACATTTACGAGAGGTCGTCCAGTGGTCGAAACTCGACCAAACATACGTAATGTACTCACTTATCTATTTTCACCCCACACTGTAAATAAAACATGTGATTTGAGTTTCTTCCATTTGTTTTGGTTTTCTGTTTATATTTCGTTGTTATTTCGTTACCAGCATGGCAACGCATAAGATCCATGTTAATATTTTCAAATTTTTAAACTCATTTTTTGTGCTTATCTTTGAGCCTATTTAAATTTATAAAGGGATTCTGCACACCTACCGGAAAATAGTTTTCTAACGGTATGCGTAGATTTTTCCTACAATGAACATGAGCTGAGAAAAAAGGTTTTAAAGAAACATGCTTGCCTATTAATATATAGATCGTGAAACATTATGTTTATGCTTATTGAATTATGTAAACCTTTACCCTCCTACATTTCAACACAGATTTAATGTATCTAGTGGCGTTCGGTAAAGTTACACTAGAATTATTTTCCACTGATGTTGAATAGTTTAAGTATGACTTGGTAAACGTATAATCTGCTCTTTAGATTTTGCAATTATTAGAGTAGGAGTTAGAGTAGGATCGAAACAAAATTATTCTGCAACCTGAAATCATCTTAAATTTACCTGTGAACCAGCCTGTGATATTCATTGTTAGATCCGTCCTCCATAGTACTAAAAATGATTATTTTAACAGTAAAAGGGATAACTTTGGAAATATGTCGATTTCAAAGATAACCATCCGCTTTCTGATAAGGAAAAAAACTTTGATTCCAACTATTTGAATAAATCATTTAGAGCAAGCGGCCTAGTTCCAAGTTGCAAGTATGTTGTTACAAATAACCGCAGAAGGACAACAGAGACTTTCGTAGAATTCTTGAACATCGAGCTGCTCTACTAGAGCATTCCCTCCTTATATGGTTAACACGGAGGAAAACCCCGTTTTAGTTTACCATTCTTGTGGTGACTTTAGCCTTCTGAAGGAGATATAACATTTAACTTACATGGACCAGTTGGCAAGTAGCTGAAAAGTACATTATTTTAATATTTTGTTAAATAAGTAACTCGAGATTTG